TAAAGTGAACGCGACGAAAGGCGATTTTTCCGTGTCGGTGCTCAGACCCTTCTGCGAAGGCATTTTGCTCAGCAAAATGTTAGCGTTTACGCTAATGGCCACTAGGCCACCTGAGGTAAGGGTCTGATTTATCTGAGACAAGCCCTCCACCCCCAGATTAATCGATGACTAATCATTGATTCGATTTTGAGGAGGATCGCGTTAGCGCTGCGCTTTTCTTACAGTACGGAACAAACAACAACACACCTGCTCTGCTTCTCCAACGACCGCGTCAAGAACCTATGATTTTCACCCTTCCCTTTACGGTATTTACGACAGATGCCCCCTCGCCCTCCTAGCCAGATCAAATTCGTATCTCCCTCACCCGACGAACAGGGGAGAGTGTGGAATGGCTCATGCATCTAGGACCTCTCAGCAAAGACCCCTACCCTCTACCGACAGCGGGAAACGGAGTTTTTGCCCCACCCGGTGAAGCGGTTATTTATCTCCCCGGATACGAGACCGATCGAACCCTCCTACGGTTTTGGGCGTACAGCGTAGACGAGAAAGATGGGCCATATGTGAATTATGAGTTTGCGTACGACATGTACGACATGTGCATGGCGATGGCCAACAATGCCGGACCTGGGTTCTTCACGAAAGGACGAGAGCCGAGCAGCGAAAAGGTAGAGGCGGAAAAAGGCGGTTTGCTGGCGAAGCACAAATATTTCTTTCACGTTGGAAGTGACACATCGACCGTGCTAGAGAAATGCCCGGTTCTGCGAAGCTTTCGGGACTTCACGTTCAGGCCGGAAGATGTGGGCGAGCATTGGCGGAAGGCCGTTCCGGGGGAGAGAAGCGCAGACTGTTACTTACCGGATGCATGCTGCGTGAGTGGTGAAGATGTGATGATAGAAGTAGCGCATTTGACTCCAAAGACGGAATGGCTATTCTGGAAGGAGACTGCGTTGCACCGATACGCGATGGAGCCAATCCCTCGCACCCAAGGACGTGAAACCTATACTCGGAGCAACACCATTTCACTGGCTTCCAACCTACACAAGATGTTTCATGCCGGCCATTTCGATACAAAGGTTATATTGTTAACTTCTCAAGAGATACCGGCAAGGTTTACAGCAATCTTCCATTACCTCTAGAGCATCTGGAAATTGTCCAGTTGCGTCCAGGCGACACAGCAAATAGCAGGCTCTTAGCCAAGTAGTTCACGAAAGACTTCCGTGTCAGTCGCTCCGTTATTGCGAGGTAGCTCGCTCGATTACCTCTATCCTAACCATCCCGGATACAGAGATATTAATTTAATTTTAAGGGGCTCACTAAGCTAGTTCTTAACTATTTGGTCTGGTCTTAGGGAGCTAAGGACCTAGAAGGGGAGAAGCAGAGAGAGAAAGTATTTCGATACTTTCGATACTTTCGATATAGTATCGAAAACCACCCGGTTCATATCGTCCCAACCTTGAGTAGAACGTTGTTGTGACCTTCATCCCAGACCTTCGTAAGCATGGCACTGTCCTTGCGAGATCAATCATCCCTACCGGCGGAGGGATATCGATGCAAACTCAATATCGACCCCAACCTGGCTGCCGGTTTGCAGATATTCTACGGGGTTGTAACCCACCACGCACACTCGCTCCCGAGGGAATCACCGCCTTGCACGGCTTCACCAAAACTGTATTAGATTTCCAGACATCGATATTTAGAGATCGAGCGCGTGGCCATTAGACGGCGGCTTTTGCCCGAAGAGGGTGCTCAGTCAGCCCCAATGTGTTTGAGCCAGACAGGGAGACAGTCTTCCTGCTGCCGCTGTGGCTCACGGCTGTACCACTGCCCGGCTGCGCATCCACAAAATTTAGGCGAATTAGGACAGCTAGCAGAGGGGCTGTAACTGTAACCAATGTCTTTGAACCTGTCTCTCGTCAGTCCGGCAAGGTGAACTACGGTGACTGCGGTTGTACTCACCAGTGGATCTTCCTCGCATCTTCAAAGAGCCCTAGACCAATACTGTGGACCGGTGCATCACCCCACCGTTCGTAAAAAAATCCGCCTGTTCGATCTAGATAGGTGAAATACTCTTCGTATGGTTGGCTCCGCCAGAAAGCGAGGTCCGCGATTTCAGCATTGGACCAAAAGTGACAGGTGCTGTAGCCGTTGGCCCTGAGGTGGTGCTCAGGCCGATGCTGGTCGTCCACCAGCCAAGACACGGCATTGTTCTCGTGCAGGTATTCCGGGCGGTCGGCCAGAAACTTGAGTGTCTCGGGCCAAAGGGACGGGAGAGACTCGGGCGAATCATAGAGCATGATGCCAAATCCATATGTTTTGTTGTTATCCTGCAGATATCGGAAGACGTCGTAGTCCACGTCATGGAAGAACTGCATTTTGGGTTCGACTCGCCAGTAGTATCGCACGTGCTCGAGGGCAGGGTGGTGATGTAACATGCCGCTATTCCAGCGGCTCTTTTGATGGTAGCGGATCGTACCTGCATATGGTACCTTACGTTCCTTCAACATTTCCGCCGATTCCTCATAAAGCTCCCGGCTGACCCAGGAGGGTATGTCCCATTGCTCTCGCGGGATCAGATAGAACTCGCATTTGGCCTTTGTGACTTTCTGCACGGCCGCCTTGAAAGCGTCAGTGAAAGGAACATCGTTGAAAAAGGTCCACGGGTAGTTGTATTTTCCGTTCCAAGTCGCCTCGAGTTGTTTCATGGTGAGGATGAGCTCGTGGAGCTCTTCATTCCGTACGACAGAGAGGAGGGTGGCATTGAGCCGCGCTGACCGAGCGGTATCGGGAGAATAGTCGTGTTCACTGTGCCGCCATAGCGGCCCCCTCGGCTCGTCGATGGCTATCGCCCGTCAGCCAAGGACTCGAGGCGCCTCCGAGGCGGATCGGATGGACGTTCATACGGTCCAACAGCGGATCCCAATCGATCGTCTCCGTCCTCTCACTGTCCCCGCGGATGAACCCCAGCGGCCATGATATTTGGATAATGGCGTGTAAATAGGAAACCAGAAAGAGCAGGAGGAGAATCTTACGGACCTCCTCGAGAAATCTTGGTAGCCGAGCGCCCGGCATGATTTTCACGTTGAATTCCTTTGATCGGTCTCTCCAAGGCCCACAATGTACCAGTATGAGAAGAGGTTGGTGACCCTGGTGTGTCGCGATGAGGTCTCTTTTTGAGGCCAGCGTTGCGAGGGTTTAGCCAGTGGGTGGTGGGGTTGGCGATTTGCGTAAGTAACCTGGAATCAGTACGAGAAGAGAATACGCCAGAAAGTTTCGCACTGATCTAGCACTTAACGTATTGCCCTTTTATTCCTGAGGCGTAGCTGGGTCACACCGTCCACACTGGAAAGATCACTTCTATGACCGAACGGGCTCGTTAAGCTCAAGCCATGTGGAAACGCTGACGTGACCAAATTCGGTCTCGGGACCACGATGCTTTGGCACAAGAAAGGTTGGGCGCAGGGTAACTTCTATGGAGTAGTAAAATGGCATCGCTCGGACGATCTTCGACGTTCGGCGAGAGATCTGCCTCACAGTTGATTCGTTCATTTCTTGGGCAGAGGCAAACCTAGAGTGGAAAAGGTGTAAGGTGCGTCGTCGCTCAAAAAGATCCTTGGTGCGACTGGTACGGAGTACGTGGACAACCCCCCCCCCCC